CCCCCTCCCACTCAAGGCCCCCTACCCCTGGCACCGCGCGCGCGCGCCCGACAAAACGCTCCGCGAGCCAATCGGAGAGGAAGAATGGCTTCTTCGCCCCGCCCTCCCTCACGCAGCGACGTACCGGGTTCCCGCCCCCTCCCTTTCCTTGAACCAATCAGGGAACAGCTCCAAGGGAGCGCGCGAGGTTTCCTTCCCCGCGCACCCGTTCTCACCGTTAAACGGCCGCGTCCCGCGACAATCCTAGTGACCTTTCCCTCTCCGGAGTTCCACGCGCACTAGGGGCAGGGGGAGGGGCCGGTTTCGCGAAGAGGTTGGTGGGAAAAAAAAGCACCTCTTACCCCGCCTCGCGCGCTCCCTGGAGTGGCTGCGCGCGCACCTGCCTCCCTAAGGATCCGCTAATGCCACAAGGGCTCTTTCTATCCTTCCTCAAAGGCACGGAAGTAGCCCCGGCGTTCTTCTACCTCCACCCAGACTCCACTTTCCTGTATGTGGCCTTTCTGTCCCCAGCGTTGCGAGGTCTTGAGGGAGAAGGGGGAAATTTTTTTGAGCTGTCGCTTCTCCTTTAAGAAAAAAAGCCCCGTCGCTGCCGGATGAAAGTCTCTGAAAAAATGGCGGCGGTAGAACAGAGGCGGGGTCGTGAGGGCATGGAGGATCCGCCTCTTCGACGCATGCGTATAGTTACCTTGCTCAAAAGCATTCTGGGAGTTGAAGTCCTACTTAGCCTGTGGTTTGGTGGGGGAGGGGCATAGAAGGTAGGAAACCAGAGGCGAAATGGTTGCTGGGAGTTTTTGACCGATGCAGGATGGGGAAAGTAGTTTTTAGTATTTCCACAGTCCAAGTGTACTTTTCCTGGGAGGCAGTGTTTCCGGGTTAAGGCGCGACACCTAAGCAGATCCCGGCGCAAATTTTGAGCCAGTTGTCAGGATTTCCTGGGGAGGTTTTCCCGGCTTGTTTTCTTGGCGTTGGCGAAGCATTTCTAGGATGGTCACGTCATAGTTCTTACCTTGGTCTTGGTTAGATGGCTCCTCCGGCTGGCGCTCATGCCTGCAGTATTCGTCTCATCCTCCTGTGTCTGACCCACCAACCTGGGAGCCCCTGGAGGTCAGGGGCTGAATCTGGTTGTGTCGGATCCTCGGGGGCCTACCCGTCAATTATTTGGTTACTAATAAAAGTTTGGGGAGATCACTGTGGAGTTGCGTTTCTACTGGATACCGCGCCCCCTGCTTCACTCGGCGGCGGTCACTGGGCTGGAGGGAAGTTGTTCGCGGTCACTGGGCTGGAGGGAACTTGTTCGCGTGTCGCGGCACCAACCGGAGAAATCTGAAGGCCTCCCTCAGGCTCCCTGCTCTGAAGCCGACGGCTTCTGCGGCTTTTAAATGTTTCGGCTGCGCAGGAAGCACAGTCAGATGAGCCCCTTTGCCGGAATTTCTTTTCCGCCCAATAACGTGTGCAGCTAAATTGTCCTAATCCGATAAACGGGGGTTTCCATTTGCTTATCTCAAGGTGATGGCCGTGGGCCTCTCACATTCCTTTCTTCTTTCGTCCATTATAACCTGGGAGCGATTTGCAGGACCACGTTCTTACCCCTGGAAAATAAAGCATCTGGGGGTAAAATGCCTAAAGGAAGCGGATGGAAACAAGATGTGGGGAATCCAATTTAAATTTCACATTAATCATTCAGTTAAAGCTGCGGATACAGTACAATACATGCAAGCCAAGTGCTGACGTGCAATTTTCCTTCCAGTGCTTTGGCTCAGTTATCACTTCAGATTAGGGCGGCAAATGTTTTCTGTTTTCTAATGAGTGTGTTTGCACTTTCATGGGGCTAATGGCATTTCAGTTGTAAAAGCTGGCATAGGTGGATGGGAATTTTTGCAAATCCATTTTTAAGGTATGCAGGCTTTTGGAACAGCACTGACATCCAATGGCTGCTCAAAGTAAATGCAGAGTAGGAATCTTCATTAAAAAAAGAAAAGTCTTCAGTCACTAGGGAATGGAGAATGAATGATTCCTTTTCAGTGGTTCTCAACCTTCTGGCCCTTTAAATACAGTTCATGTTGTGACCCAACCATAAAATTATTTTCGTTGCTACTTCATAACCAATGTTGCTACTGTTATGAATCGTAATGTAAATATCTGATATGCAGGATGGTTTTTAGGCGACCCCTGTGAAAGGGTCGTTAGACCGCCAAAGGGGTCGCGACCCACAGGTTGAGAATCGCTGCTTTAGATCATCTGGAAAAAAAAAAAGACCATTGTGTTATAGAGGAAAGTTCACAGGCTTTGAAGTTAAATATAGATTATATTAGGTAGAAAAGCTACCTATTAACTCTATTACTTGAGCAAGTTCCTGTTCCTTGAATATTTCTCCACTGGGAAAAATGGGGTAATACCTATTTCACCAGGCCATAATTATAGTTCTTCCCATAGTAGGCCTTTGTAAATGTTGTATTTTGTTGAAGGTGAATAAAATCAGTGGTTTAAAAAAAAAGGTAAAAGTTCATCTCAGCGTCACTGTTCAGAAAACTGCTGTAAAGCAATGTGAGTAGGTAGGAATTATATGCTTAATTGAGATGTCTGCAACTTAGCACCTGAGTCTTAAATCTCCCAGTCTCATTCTTCATGACTCCTTTGGTTGTTTGCATTTGGACCCCTGAAATGAACCAAGCCCTGAGAATCCAAAAATGAATACACCTCTGCTGCATTTAATGGATTTTCCAATCTATTCGGGAAATTAGGTAAGCAAAATTTCTGGATAATTAAATAAAGATAGCAAAATGAATCGGGTGCTAGCTATGAAGCAAACAATGCCTCCATGGCCCACCAGCAGCTTCACGGGCTGGGGATGGGGTGGGGTGGGGGGGTAGCGGGAGATTCCTGATGTATAGTCGAAGTGCGATACATACACTGAGCAAAAACACAAGCGCAAATCTGCCATTCCCATGAATTCCAGGTGAATTCTGGCATGTAGTAGGTGCTCAAATTTTTCAACTTTTGAATCTTGCCCTGGCCAGTGTACCATCAGAATTCAAATTTTACTACCTGCCTTTTTTTCTATGTCAGTCCCATTTTAAAAACTCTGACCTATAAAAAAAGAAAAGAAAAAAAAAAAGTAACTCACCAAATCAAACGAGAGGAAGTGCTAAGCAAATACAGGAACCAAAAAAGGTTATAGAGGCTGCTTCACACTGTCTCATTCAGTTCCTTTGCGGTCCTCTTCTTCAGCACAGACCAAAGCGGGTCCTCACAACCTGTGGCACCAGCGCATCTTGGGTGTGTGACAATGGAAGAGTTGGGTGAGTGAGGAGCTTCCTGGGGGAGAAACTCTGAGGGAATCAAGACCTGGCTGCCATCTCCTTGTGTGGTGGGGTGTACTACTAGCCACATGGGTACAGGAAGATCTTATTTTCACTTCTCTCCTGACTTCGCTAAGAGTAAAGCACAAGGAACTATAATTGGGGAAATATGGGTTCACTGTTTCTGTGGCACAGAAGGCGGAGAGTTTGGTAAACTCCACACAAATACTTTTGGATTGAATTGTGATTAAAATGGCCATTTTATTATGAGCATTTGCCCTTTGGGGGCTACTGGAGATCATAGAGTGATCACACGGTAGGCAACGGTAGAGATGTGATTTGAGGAGAAAAAGAAAGCAATGAGTGTTATGAGGAGAAGAAGAAAAAGTACAAGAATGAGGGATTCACAGAGATTGGAGAGAAGCCAGGGTGGTTTCAGTTGTTCTAGGATTTAGTATTAAATCAAGACAACATAGCACTAATAACTCCAGGGATTTTATTGCTCAGCTTTTTATTCAGAGGAGCTCTGAAGGAACAGATTTCTATGGCCTGCAAGTGTAATACCTCCTTCCATTCCAAAGCAATAAAAACCAGCAGTGGAATTATTGGCCATGTTGCTCAAAAGAGATCTCTGATTTCAAGCCTTTGGAGTAACGTAAGATTTATCATTCTTGGGAATGCATTCCATATCCTTTGCCAACATTTGTTGCCAACAGCCTTACTAACACTGAGTCACTAACCCAGTTTCCAAGCTGTATTAATTACAGCGTGTCCTGGGTTTTTGTATATTTGGGGCATGTCAAAAGTGCAAACAATGACCAAAAACATATTTTACATATTGTCCTTTTAAAAAATTGTTTAGAGTGTAATTTGAGAGTTGGAGTAGAGGAAGGAAGGCAAATTGCAGGAGGGAAGAGGAAAAGGTGGTGTTTGATAAATATGTATTGAACTGTTTTGGAGGTAAAGTCTATTTGGATACTTGGGGTAGAATCCAAATTCTTATCTTGCGTGAGGGTTGGGGAATTTCATATTTCTACCTGAGTTCCACTCTGTTTTTTTTATGTTAGGGCTACCTAATGGCCGTTCTGCAGATAATTAAAAAAGCAAGTAATACTTTTTGTGGTCACTTAAACTAAAACTGGACATTTTTACATATGTTAACCATTTTAGCAATCCACTAAAATGGGTATTATCCACATTTTTTTTAAATGAGAAAACTAAGAAAAGCAAAATAACTATTTCAATGACACCAAAACGGACCAAGCTACAAGCTATTCTCCTGTTTTAGAAATGTGTTGGCTCAGATGTTCTGGCTGACAGAATAACCTAGGTAACAAAAACATGAAATAAAAAGATTTGCACAGCTTTGCATTTCTTAAGCAGGAAAAATTATACAGAAATCTGGTCCAGAAATATAGAAAGAACCACACAGCTTGGAGGATAACATTCCTGTTGATGATTCAGGTGGCTAATCCTCTTCTTCAAATTGTCGTCAGCCCAATTGCTACCCTAATAACTTAGGATGGGTCTCTTCCTGCTGGAGAGAGGTAGCATGAAGGGCAGGTCGGCACAGGTATGCCTGTATTTCCTCTTTGTGTCCTTCTTACACGGGGATACTAGATAAAGAGAAACCAAGAGCAAACTCTGGCTCTGAATGAAATCATTACAATCCAATGAGACCCCCAAGAAACCTTGCTTTACAAATCTTTTCATGTTAATACCGATGAGTATTTGATTTCTGCAGATGAAGGGCTACAGAGAAGGACTGTAGAATTTTCAGTCTAGTATCCCCCACCACCAGTCATCCCATATTTGTCATCCTGAAATTAGTCATCTTCAAATTACGGAATCTGGCAAAAGGCAAGATGATCTTTGGGTGTTGGTGATACGTGCACTCAGGAAACAGGAAGAGAAGGGCCTGTTAACTCCTGACCCAGAAAAAGTTACAATAACTTTAGCGAGCAGGTCCTTCTAAGGGTAACCTTCTACTCTTAGTGGTATCATTTGTTTCTCTTGTAAACGGTATCTCCTCTCTCCTAATCTTTATTGTAAACTAGTGGCCTGGTGCACAAAAATTCGTGCACTCAGGGAGGGGGTCTCTTAGCCCAACCTGCACGCTCTCACAATCCGGACCCCCTCAGGTAGGGTCCAGAACCATCGCAGCATGGCTCTGGTTCCCTGGGCCTGCAGGCAGGGGGAAGGGACCAAGAGGGCAGTCTGATCACAGCATGGCTCCAATTCCCCAGAGCCTGTGGGCCGGGGTAGGGACCAAGAGGCCAGTCTGATGGCAGCATGGCTTGGTTCCCACAGCTCCCTCCCGTGGGCAGCCAGGAACCAGGACTGACTCCTGCGGCTCCAGCCGGAACCCTAGCCTGGTGTTCAGTCATCCATCTGGATGTTTAGGTCATGACGGATCCTTATATATTAGGATGCCTTTTTATTTTAAATCTAAGGGGATCCATGACTTCTAGTTAGAGAAAAGGTTAGAAATAGAAAAGAAAGGGGCTATATCTTGATGGATATAGACTAAATATTTGGAATTCAGTCTGACTGTATGAGGAAAGAAGTTTTGCTTTTTCTTTCTACCTGTTTTTGTTTTATTTTTTCTTCTGTAAAAATCTTTTAATATAGAGAATTTAAGAATATAGTTTAATGAAATCTGATGTACCCCTCAACCAGTTTAAACTATCAAGTCTTGGTCAATCTTTTTTCATTTATAGACCCTCCCATTCCTTTAATAACCTTATTATTTTAAAACAATCTCAGATATTAAATAATTTCATCTGTAAATATTTCATCATACTCTCTAAAATAAATTTATACATACTTACACAAATAACCATAATACCATTATCACACCCCAAAAATCTTTAATAGTAATTCCTTAATATTATGAAATACCATTATCACACCTAAAATATTAACATAAATAATCAAATATTCTTATCATACCCAAAATAAATTAATAATATGTACTTAGTATTATTAAATATCCAGTCAGTGTTTAATATTCCTGATTGTTTATTTTTTGTTTGCTTGTTTACTTTACTTTTATCCTCAGATTATTTTAAGTTAAGGTTCATATACTAAAATTAGTTATACGTTTCTAAAGTCTATTTTAATCTATTGGTTCACTCGCCATCTCTTTTTTCATTAAAATTTATTTGTGAACGGTAATTTTCCCTGAAGAATTTAGCCCAGTTTACTTCTCTCTAAAGTGGTGTATAAAATTCAGTCTTTTTGTGAGATGGATGATTTAGAAATATATGTAGATCTTTTATTAAATTTATTGCAGTGACATTAGTTAATAAAATTATATAGTTTCAAATGTACAATTCTGTAATACATCATCTGTGCATTTCAAAGTCAAATATCCTTCTGTCCCAATATATTTGACCCCCTTTACCCTTTGCTACTTCCTCCCACCCCGTTTCCCTCTGGTAACCACCATACTGTTGTCTGTATCTATGAGTTTCTGTTGTTTGCTTGTCTTGTTTGTTCATTCGTTGCTTTCAGTTTTACATTTCACATATAAAGATCTATAGCTTTCATTTTAAAGAAATGATTAGATCTTTTTTTATGCCATCAAGAAGTAGTCATCCCTCCAATATCTGAAATAAATGAAAATCTTTTTTTTCATAATGTGTGAAGTTCATTTTCTTCATCTGGGGACTTCCAAGGTAGGCATATACTTAGAAACAATATAATCCAGTGTTTTGCAAACTTTTAAGAACTACAACCTGTGGTAAGGAAACCACTAGAGAATCACTAATGGGTGTTGATCCACAATTTGAAAAGTATTATCCTATATAATAAAGAGCTAATATGCAACTGATTGTCATGCCATCACACCATCATGCCGGGGCTGGAGTATCTGAGGCCAGGCCGGGGAACCTGAGGCTGTAACCCCCGCCCTGGGGCCGGGGGACCTGAGGCCACACCCTTGCCCCGGCCCCAGTGCCAGGGGACCTGAGGACAAGCCAAGGGACCTGAGGCTGCGCCCCCCTGCCTGGTGGGGGTTTGGGTCTCACACAATTTCGAGGCATATGTGCGTGGGCGGGGACTTGACTCTGGGTCCCAGGGTGTGCCCCAGACTCTGACAGAGGGAGATTTTCATATACATTTTACTAATTTTCTTTCATCTCTGACACTCCTATTATAGAGAAAGGGCAAATAGCAATATTAAAATATTTCCTCTAATTAATTCCCTTTTAAGATGCAGGAATTTCATGCACCAGGCCTCTAGTTGTACTATAATTGCTTAATTATGTAGATGAACAAATAGCTTCAGAGAAGAACATGCCATGCCCAGATGACCCAGAGAATCCATTTGAGAATGAGGTCTGGAATTTCTGGCTTGAAGTTAGTGCAGGGGTTGGAGATCAGACAGCCAAGTTCTGAACTCAGTAACAGTGTGAACTCAAACAATTTATTTGGTAATTTCTTGAACTACAAAATAAGCATAATAATGCCATCTGCTTCAAAGAATTAAGATAACTAAATTAAATATATAAACCTTAATTTTTATTAATTGTTATTAATTTCATCATAACAGAAAGGTAATATTGTAATACTTGAAGTCAGAGTCCATTGTTTGTTCCTAAGAAAATATAAGAGAAACAATCAACTATTTGGACTGTAAAATCTTGCTTGATTTTGTAATATTTGTATTTTTTCCCCCAATTTCCTTTTCTCCCCATACCCTAAAAAGACAGAATACTTATATTCTCCTTTGAGAATCTGGTTATGTGCTTGGGATATAAGAAAAAAAATCATCAAGGTTAAGAATAAATGTTACTATCCTGGTATATTTTTTAAAACTGTAGTATAATTGCTTATATTTTTCTGATAGAAAAACTATTTAGAATTTTACTTTTTTTCTAAGTGGGAATCTTTATGAGTGATTCACCCCAAATAAATGACAAAAATTAATACCCTGCAATAAAATAAGCCAAATTATAGAGTGAGACTATGGAATTGAATGCAGCCATAGGAAATAAGAAATAGGCTACAGGATAAGGAGACTTTAAACATCTTTTAGCCAGGATATGGAGGCTTTAAACCACATTCTAGAAGTAAAATACAGAGCAAGGGAAGACGTTTTAAGGAAAATAGCCTTAACCCAAGAGAAGAGGGAGATGAATGGAGGTGCAGGGGGAGCGATATAAGAGGAAAATTATTTCAGAAGACTTCCGTGTTCTATACTATGATTCCCTTGTGTGTTATGATATAGATGCTTTATTGGAGGAATTGGAACGCTCTACCCTCCAGGACAGTGGTGAATACTCCAACCCTGCTCCTCTTCCCAAGGATCAGCATTCTGGAAAAGAGAGTGCTGAGACTTCAGACATCCCTTCTGTTCAGGATGACACAAGCCCCTTGCAGGTAACATTTCATTTATTGGAGTGCCTTGAATACAGATGTTTGAGTGTTTGCTGAATATGAATTGCATCCTACACAAAATAATGTGAAAGGACAATTATATATCCAAGAAAGAGAAGAAAATCCCTCTAAGATAACTTAAAGGTGCTCTCCCTGCTGTTCCTTCTACTTGGACCAGGTTACTCCTGATAGCTTCAAACTTTTCTCACCTCCTCCTATCAGTCCTTGCTCAAGAGTCCCCTTCTCAGTTAATCCTTCCCAGGTCAATTTCTTCCTTCCTTCCTTCCTTCCTTCCTTCCTTCCTTCCTTCCTTCCTTCGTTCATACGTCCATAATATGTATCACAGTTGGTAATACATGCATGAAGCAAAATGAAGCACTTCTTTCTTTCTTTCTTTCTTTCTTTCTTTCTTTCTTTCTTTTCTCTCTTTAAAATTTTTTTCAATTATAGTTGGCATTTAATATTATATTAGTTTTGAGTGTACAGCATAGTGGTTAGACACTTTTATAACTTTTGAAGTGACCCCCCCCCCATAAGTCTAGTATCCACCTGGCACCATATATAGTTATTACTATAGTATTGACTGTATTCCCTATGCTGTATTTTACATCCCCGTGACTATTTTGTAACTTCAATTTGTATTTCTTTTTCTATTAGGTTTTTAATTTTTTTCAATCACAGTTTACATTCAATATTATTTTGTATTAGTTTCAGGTGTATACCATAGTGGTTAGATAATCATAGACTTTACAAAGTGTTCCCCCTGATATTTCCAGTACCCATCTGGCACCATATATAGTTATTACAATATTATTGACTATATTTCCTATGCTGTACTTTACATCCATGTGACTATTTTCTAACTAGTGATCTGTACTTCTCCATCTCTTCACCTTTTTCATCCAATCTCCCAACCCCCCTTGCTTCTGGAAACCATCAGTCTGTTCTCTGTATTTATAAGTCTGTTTCTATATTGATTGTTCATCTCTTTTGTTCTTTCAATTCCACATATAAGTGAAATTATATGGTATTTGTCTTTCTCTAACTGACTTATTTCACTTAGCATAATAACCTTTAAATTCATTCATGCTGGCCAAGCAATATTCCACTGTATATATCTGCTACCACATTTTCATCCGCTCAGCTATTGATGGGCACTTGGGTTGCTTCCATCTCTTGGCTATTACAAAGAATGCTGCAATGAACATAGGAGTTCTTTTGAATTAGTGGTTTGTATTTCTTAAGATATATACCCAAAGTGGAATCACTGGGTCATTAGGCAGTTTCATTTTGAATTTTTTGAGGAACTTTCATTCTGTTTTCTACAGTGGCTGCACGAATCTGCATTCCCAGAGGGTTCCCTTTTTTTGTCTACCTCCTCATCAACACTTCTTGTTTGTTGATTTATGGATGATAGTCATTCTGACAGATGTGAGGTGATATCTCATTGTGGGTTTTTCTTAAGACATTTTATTTATTTCAGAGAGGAAGGAGAGGGGGGGAGAGAGAGAGAGAAACATCAATGATGAGAGAGAATCATTGATTGGCTGCCTTCTGCATGCCCCACACTGGGGATTGAGTCCACAAGCCGGGAATGTGCCCTTGACCAGAATCGAACCTGGGACCCTTCAGTCTGCAGGCTGACGCTCTATCCACTGAGCCAAACCAACCAGGGCCTCATTGTGGTTTTAATTTGCATTTTTTTGATGATTAGTGACATTGAGCATCTTTTCATATATCTATTGGCCATCTATGTGTCCTTGTTGGAGAGGTATCTATTCAGTCCATTGCCCATTTTTAAAATTGGATTGTTTGGTTTTTTTGTTGAGTTGTATGTGTACTTTATAAATTTTTTATATTAACCCCTTATTAGAGCTACCATTGGCTAATACATTCTTCCATTCAGTGGTGTTCTTATCATTTTCTTAATGGTTTCCTTTGCTGTGCAAAACCTTCTTAGTTTGATATAGTCCCATTTAGTTTTTCTTTTATTTCTCTTGCCTGGGGAAATAGATCAGAAAAAAAATATTAATAAGAGAAATGTTAGAGATTTTATCGCCTATGTTTTCTTCTAGGGTTTTTATGGTATTAAGTCCACTTGTATTTCTTAAGCTCTTCAGCTTTTTTATCCATCTCCTCAGCACTCCTCCCATCTGGCAAACATCAGTTTGTTCTTTATATCTATGAGTCTGTTTTTGTTTTGTTTGCTTATTTTGTATTTTTTAAAATATATTTTATTGATTTTTTTTACAGAGAGGAAGGGAGAAGGCTAGAGAGTTAGAAACATCGATGAGAGGGAAGCATTGATCAGCTGCCTCCTGCACACACCCTACTGGGGATGTGCCTGCAACCAAGGTACATGCTCTTGACTGGAATCAAACCTGGGACCCTTCAGTCCGTAGTCCGATGCTCTAGCCAGTGAGCCAAACCAGCTAGGGCTGCTTATTTTGTTTTTGAGATTCCACATATGAATAAAATTATATGGTATTTGTCTTCCTCTGTCTGACTTATTTCACTTAGCAAATTATTCTCTAGGTCTATTTGTGTTGTTGTAAACAGTAAGATTTAATTCTTTTTTATGGTGATGAATATATTTATAATTGCCATTTCTTCTGCATTTTCTATCTCCCACCCCTGATTGATATTACATGTTCATTAATTTATTTTTAGATATTAATTTGTTTATTATCTGTTTCTCACAATGTAAATCCGGGGTAGACAATTTTTGTTTATTTATTTTTTGGTTTTTGGTTTTTTGATGGCTACATCCCTAGCCCTGACACATGACAGGCTCTCAATAAATATTTGTTCAACAAATAAATGAGTTGTTAGCCAACTACCCTTTAGAGTCACACATTATTTCTTTTTTAAAAATATATTTTTATTGATTTCAGAAAGGAAGAGAGAGGGAGAGATAGAAATATCAATGATGAGAGAGAATCATCGATTGGCTGCCTCCTGCACGCCCCCTACTGAGGATTGAGCCCGCAACCCTGGGCATGTGCCCTTGACCAGAATCCAACCTGGGACCCTTTGGTCCACAGGCTGATGCTCTATCCACTGAGCCAAACCAGCTAGGGCACATTCTTTCTTTTGGTATGCTAATTTTAATCATGTTATGGTCTATAAAGGGACTTTGCTTATTTTGTTGTTTTATGATTTTTGTCTGAGTACTTCTCTAATTCAGTGCTTTTAGGGCAGGGAGAGGGTCACTTTTTATTCACATGGCAGCTATTCTACTTAGAATTTGGCCTTTCTCTGTGAGATGGCTGGTATTCCTCTGCCTTATAAAAGGATATCTCAGAGACATGCTAGTCGTCAGTCTCCTTTAGAATCTAAAAACATTCTTTAATTCTGGGTGTAGATAAGCACCAAGATTTCACTAACAGAAATCCATTCTGTCGCTCTGTCTTAGGTGCAGCTCGTGTATACTACTAATATTGAGGAGCCCCACGTCTACAGGTATTTTTTAATATTAAATTCTTAAGCAAAGTTATTAGATAATTGTTGTCAGTCTGTGTTTGGACAATACTTTGCTTGGAACTCCTACTGCTCTCCTTTTCTTTCCATCGTTTTTGAGCAAATGTGGAATGGTTTCTGCTCTTTCCTTCACCACCTGAAAAAGTGTAAATAGTTCTAATCATCACAGATGCTTTGGCCCAGCTATTCCAAGTCACAGAAGAAAAACACCAAATGAATTTTCAGCAAGCCATTAACAAATTCAGAGCTAGGCTCGATCCGATTTGATTCAGTAGATAGAGCATTGGCCCTCAGACTGAAGGGTCCTGAGTTCAGTTCTCATCAAGGGCACGTACCTAGGCTGCAAACTTGAACCCCGGCATGTGCGGGAGGCAACCAATCCAATCAGTTTGTCTCTCTGACATCAGTGTTTCTCTCTGTCTCTCCCCCTCCCTCCATTCTCTCTAAAAATCAATGGGAAAATTGGGTGAGGATTTTTTAAAAAGAGCTAGTTTCAGAGTTGAACTAAGAGATTAGTCTCCATGGCAGACTAATGAATATAGACTTCTTTTCATATTTGCTCAAAATTTATTTAGCAGATGGAGAGATTGCCTTTTCACAAAAGTTACAGATTGGAACAGATTCATTTACTAAATAATTTCTACTGGCCAAAGCAGAATTGGCAGCCTGTTAAGAAAAAAAAAAGACCACTTTTCTTGTTCTCTTTTCAGTTATGGCTTGAAATTTAAAACGTCAGACAACATTCTGGAAAACAAAATAAAAGCCTTAAAATGTAGACAGTAAAGGCTCATACTTGGTAAAGAATACTACGCCACACCTTATTTGGTTTCAGAATTGCAGCCAATAGTGCACACGTGATGCTAAATAAGGAAAGGACCTATGCTATCAAAAAGTCTTTTTATAGCTTTGCATTTGAGGACACTTTCTACTGTAATGGGAGGAAGGCCAATTTATTAATACAATTGTCAGTGTGTTCCATTTCCAGTGATCACGCCCCTTTGTAAAAAGCAAACAAAGCAAAACAACAACATCAAAAACAGTGCCTGGTACATAATTACTTCACAGTAAATTTTGGCTTTTTAAATCCAGGAAACCAAGACTTAGATACAAACACTAATGAACATATGAACATCCTATTTAATAAACCGAAAGGCAGGACAACTGGTTGCTATGACACACACTGACCACCAGGGGGCAAACCAGTGGTGGGAGGCGGGGCCGGCAGGTGGGTGGAACCAGGCCACCAGCCAAGGTGGGTGCCAGCTGGGTCCCTGATTGCCCCACCTGCCCGTTGCCCCACAGATCGGCTCTGATCACAGGCCAGGCCTAGGGACCCTACCCTATATATTGGGAACAGTCTCTTAGATTTAAAAATTAAAACCTGGCAAGGCTACTCTAACACTGAAAAAACAGGATGATGCAGCGATGACATGCATGGACTCTGGCTTGCACATTTTGTGGTCAGCCCTGATTCGGACCCATAACTGTATGACAAAGCCAATTACTTAACTTCTCTCTGCTTCAGTTTTTCCATCCATAAGATGGGGAAAATGGTACTACTGCCTCAGAAGGATCATGTTATGTACTACTTTTTATAATCAGGGAAAAAAAATATAGCTGCCCATACAACTGCAAGATGCCTTTCACCTGGATGAAAAGTATGGTCACTGGTGCATGCAGCGTCCCAGAATGCAAGAGAGATGTCCGACTGCTGGTCCCAGATTGTGAGAAGGATTGGATTGCAATGGATTTCTGTGTGTGTGTGTGTGTGTGTGTGTGTGTGTGTGTGTGTGTGTAAAAGAGAGAGAGAGGAAGAGAGAGAGAGGGGACCTCCCTCCTTCTCCCCTCCCCCGCCCCCCCACACACAAATTTCTTACACTGGGCCTGTAACATGACATAAAAACCAGTCCAGACAACAACCATTTCCTGTCTGTCTAGCACTGTGATCAATTGATGGCACACCATACTAACTTATCAATGTCTCCTCCCCCATATGAATCTTTGGTAGATTTCTCATTAGGCCCATTCCCCCTTCTTCTCTTGGCTTTGCTAGTATTCGAGAGGAGCTGATCCCTATGGATGGGGTTTTGCAGGCTCCAGGCTTCAACCAGTGGGAGGCAGTGTGGAGAGATTGGAGGGTGAAAGGCATGGAAATTTAAGGCACTTCTCCCCCAATATTTGTCCACAGTCTCCATTTGTAGTTACATTTTCTTTATGGCTTCAGATGGAGCAAAACAGGTCTGGGATGGTTCCAGCATATGTCTGTTGACTTGGGTCCCTGGGGTCTGATCACTTTGCCTCTTTGCTTTGTCCCTTCAGCCTAATGACTTCCTGCTATGACTATTCTCTGGGATCCCTCAGTGTCTTCTGTTTGCTTTTGTAGCTCTCCCATCATCTGTGTAATCAAATTTCTGGATTAAATTCCTTCTGCTGACTCCCAATATCTGTATTTTCCTGAGTGGGCCTCGACTGACACACTTTCCATTACTGAATGATACATGCTGTGTAGACCTTTATGGGAGAGTGAGACAAAATCCAGGTGACCTAGTAAATATGTAATAGAGTGCTACAAATCCCCGAGGCGGGTATAATTCAGAGAGAATAAGGCTGGCATGTACAGACAGAGCATGGGACTCAGAATCTAGCTTCTTGCATTCTGTGTTCACCATTTCCTCTAGTTTGCTTAAATGAAGTAAACATTGCTTTGGACCTAGAAAGCATATTCAATACCATTTGTGAGTATAACACTGTAATACTATTTCTAATATAGTGATGTATCAGCAGCATTGTGACCAAATATTTAGAAATTGTATCTTTTACATGCACAAAAATAATTTTAATAAGAAGAGGGAGAAACAATTCATAAAAACATTGCAGAGGAAAGGATGGGGAGAAAAGTCCTGCACAATGAAGCCTCTCCCATGAGATGTCTGGATTCTTATAAACATACTAGAGGCCCGAAACACGAAATCCGTGCAAGAGTAGGCCTTCACAGCTGCTGCTTCATCCGGAAGGTTATCCGGAAGGTCGTTCTATAGTGATACAACCATCAGGATGCCACGTTGTACTTAAAAGACTAAGTCTTTCATCTTAGGGGGAGAAGATATGCACCTTCCTCCTGCATTCTCCCTGCTGTTAAATACTCAACCATAAGTAAGTCAGGAGTGAAACTGTCAAACCCAAGAGACAGTCTTGTTTTTCTTAAGAGAGAAAGAGATATATTTCCTTCTGCTTTGCTCCTGGTTGATAAATACATAAAAAATAAGTAAAATAGTAAAGCTATATTTTCATTGTTGAAAATAAACTTAGTGAAAGACAGAATATTTGGTTTTGTGTACGTGTGTGTGTGTATGTGAGTGTGTATGTGTAAAAGAGAGAGGGGGAAAGAGAAAGAGAGAGAGAGAGTCAGTTTGGTGGGGAGTTAGCTAAGCTGACTTGGTTAATGTTGATTACAAACATTACTTGAGTCAGTTGCCTGCATGATCCAGTTTTTCCACTTTTCAAAATTTATTCTCTGGAAATAATCAAATATTTATTTGACAGCATTGATAACAGCAAAAATCAGAAACAGTGTGGGTGTCTAATAATAAACGATTGGTTTAAGAAATCATGGTACATTATACATCTGAAAACAATATAGCCTTTAAACATCATTTGGAGGATAGTTTAGCATAGTGATCGAGAACATAAGCTTCGCAGTCTTCAGGCTCACACTCTATTGTTTGCCAGCTGTATTATGTAGAGCAAAGTTTTTACCTTCTCTAAGTCCCAGTTGTGTTTTTTTCATTTGGGAGTGACAGTACATCACTCTGATGTAGAATTGTTATAGAATTTAAAGAGGACACATATAAAACCCTTTACAGAGGGCCTGGCTTAGTGGAAACATTCAAATAGATGTTAGCTGTTATGGTTGCAAAGGACAGATAAGGATGTGCAGAAGGATATGGAAAAACGTCTATCTTCAACAAAGGAATGGTGGTTGAATTTGTTTTCAACTGCTTTAGAGCACTTATCAATGTATTTATAAAGTGTTTTTCGTATAATTTGTGGGGAGTGGCTATAGGATTAAGCCTCGTACTGACCTGTTGGCAAAGCCACAAACAAGTCCCAGCTTAGAGGGCACAGCCTTCTTAGCATAATCAAGCTTGACCTTATGAAGCTCCCTAGATCTTATCTGGGAAGCTGATGGGCTGAGGGAGATGTAGCAAGTGCTGCCAAAACAAGTGAAACTCACAAGAACATTGTAACTCTGGTGACCACTACCTTGTTTACCTCTGGCTATAAAATAAAGGCTCAGCTTGCTGTCTGGATCTCTCTCTGTGGCCTCAGCAAGGTACAGGAGACCCAGCTTATTATGTCTTGTCTTTTCTACATCCTTTGCCGCACCCCCCTCAGGCTCAGCAAACCCTTGGCTGAGCTGACACTCCACATACATTATTATAATGGACTAGAGGCCCAATGCACGAAATTCGTGCAAGAGTAGGCCTTCCTTCTCCCGGCTGCCAGCACTGGCTTCCCTCTGGCACCTGGGACCCGGGACCTGGCTCCCTTTTGCGACGGAGGCCCTGCCCACCCGCTGCAGCCCGCCAGTGACCTGGGCCTCCCTCTTTGGGGCAACTGTGGAGCCCCCCAATTGATCACCCTGTCGGCCAGTGGCCTGGGCCTTCCTCTGCGGGGCGGTCATGGGGCAATGGCTGGGCCCCTGACCAATCGCATCGCACCCACCTTGGTTGGCCTGGTGCCACTGGGTGTCATAGCATGGTCCTGGATGGTCATCTGGATGATTTTGTTCTGCTGTTTGGCCATTTGGTCGATTAGCATATTATGCTTTTATTATGTAGGATTATGTTAATCCATTAGTAATGTGGAACCATCCTTGTATGGCTAGTATAAACACTACCTAGCCATGTTATTTTTAAACACATTTCCTTTGTCTTTATCTTCTCTTCTTTTTTCTCTTTCTCTTCTTCCCCTTCCCCTCCTTCTCCTCCTCCTCCATTTTCCTCTTCTCCCTCTCTCTTTCTCTCTCTCACACACAATTATGCAAGTATTTTTTAAAAGATATTTTTATTGACTTTAGAGAGGAAGGGAGAGGGAGAGAGAGAGAGAAACATCAATGATGGGACAGGTTCATTCATTAGCTGCCTCATGCACTCCCCCCTACTGGGGATCCAGCCTGCAACCCTCGCATATGGCCTGACCAGGAATTGAACCGTGACCTCCTGGTCCATAGTGAATGCTCAACCACTGAGCCATGCCAGCTGGCCAAATTGTGCAAGTATTTTAATAAACTGAGGTCTGTGTCTTTGGTTCAAATTTTTATTTATTAATAATTTAGTCATAATCTATCAACATTATGCACATTATCTAAACTATCAAGAGTCTGCAAACTTTTTCTGTAAAGGAGAAATAGCAAATATTTTAGCTTTGTGGACCATAAGATCTCTCTCTGTCACAGCTGTCCAACTCTGTAGGAAAACAGCTATACCATAGACAGTATGAATGGGCATGGCTGAATTTGGCCCACAGACCTCAATTTATGGGTGAATGCCTGTTCTAGTTTCTTATTTTCTTTTGTCTCTCACCTGACCATAACTGAGATAAGATACAATACTTTAAAGTTGTAAAAGAATGCTATTAAAATAAAAACAAACATTTGGGCCAAGGTCTTAAGGCACTTTGCAGAGCCTGCTTTGTAGGTGGCTGTTGGGGGCGAATGGCCTGCCAGTTATATGTCCAGTGCTTTTCTTCATGCACTTGAGAACAATAATCACTTTTTGAGATGAGCAGAGCAGGAACATGGAGACACATTTTTAGTCTGGTACCTTATATGTATTTTAAAATACTCTCTCAGTCTCTAGTTTTACTGACACCTAAGCATTTAAGAGCTAAAACTACATTTTCTAGTACTTTATGTGTGGCTTACATTTATTTGAGTTTGATGTATTAGTAGGATTTTTTTGGTTTGTTTTCTCCCTATAGTGACATCCAAGAGCCAAATGAATCCCTGCCACATTCCAAAACCTCAGCAGCTGCTCAGTTGGATGAGCTCATGGCCCACCTGTGTGAAATGCAGGCCAAGGTGAGCACGGTCCCTGTGATAAAACCTTTGGGTTTACAGTATCTCTTTGGAACACAGCTCTGCATTCCCCCTTGAGGGACACTTTTAAGTTGTCATTTAGTTTTCCAGACTAAATTTAATTCAATAAATGAACTCAACCTTGTACTATGTATTATATGGACACAAAAGATACTATGATCCAAGCACTGACCTCAAGGAGCTGAGCCTGTTCTTGGCAAAATGAGGCATACACCTCTATAATATTTATAGAATAAGAGACAGTTCGTTTATCAAAATAATGTGGAGCAACCATCAGGAATGTAGAGAAGTCAAGGAGAGTTCATCAGAGGTGGGCATGGGTACGGGATAGACTCTAAAGAATGAAGAGAGTTTGAACACAAAGAGATGAAAGAAGAGTCCTTTCAGTTGGAGTGAGCCCTGTGTGCACTGGTCTCTAATGCTAGTTGAAGTGTGGCAGGACTGTTAAGGGGACCTGCCTGAGCAGGATAGAGGAGAGCTGTGGACAAGCTAGGGCACACAAGAGAGATCAATTGTGGTTTTTCAAAATGGGTATCATGAGGAGTCCTAAGCCCTACATTGAGATAAAATCCGTCTCCTTGTTCTAGCCTCCAGAGCATGAGTGGTAAGCTCATGTGGCCTGGCAAGGAATGGAAATCAACTACATGGGCTTAAGAATTTATCAAGGGAAATATCACCTAGAATTCTTAAAGTAGAGACTACAACCATTCTAAATTGGTTGGAGGATTTGATACACATACATGAAGTGACTATGAAATAATTTCAAGGCAGTATATAAAAATCTGTGTTATTGGTGAGAATAAGAACCTTATCTTTGTGGCTTGCTTTTGAACTCCCAATACTCAGCATAGTTCCTGACAATGAATAATACCTACTTATTAGAGGAACAAATGAATAAACATCAGAAACAAGTTTTCTTTAATGTCTACAATAAAGCTGAGTTTATTCCTCATTGAACTGTATATTTGGAAATACTAGGAAAGTAGACTTTATGTTTAATTGTGTGGTGTTATCTAATTGATTTAGCATGTTTCTTGATTTAATTTACATTTTTAAATATCTGTTAATTTTTTGAATAAGCCATACATTCACATTGCACAAAATTCAAAAGCACAGAAGTTTGTAATGAATGGTTTCCTTATCAGCTCATCCCAAATTACCCAGTTCTGCCACCTGGAGACAGTCAATATTTTTTTTGTTTGTTTCTTACACACCTACTCAGAAGTATTCTGGGATATAGATGTAAATGTAGTTGTAGATACAGATATAATATTGTATTTTTACTTGTTTTTGTACTTAATATTGGTCACCCTTGCAGGCCTTTTATTTTATTTATTTTTTTAAAAAATATATTTTATTGATTTTTTACAGAGAGAAAGGGAGAAGGATAGAGAGTTAGAAACATTGATGAGAGAGAAACATTGATCAGCTGCCTCCTGCACACCTCCTACTGGGGATGTGCCCGCAACCAAGGTACATGCCCTTGACCGGAATCGAACCTGGGACCTTTCAGTCCACAGGCTGGCACTCTATCCACTAAGCCAAACCAGCTAGGGCCTTGCAGGCCTTTTAGACATTAACCTTTTAAACACTAATCTTTTCAACATTAACTAATGTCATATAATAGAGGAGAAAGGCAATCTGTTAGATGATAAAAGTTTCTTTTTTAAAATAACTATTTTAATATTTTATAACTATTTTGGAATTTTGCTTCAATAACTACAATCCATAAGCAAGTCTTATCTGACAATTTCTCACCACCTTTTCCGCTAACACTGGTCCAAGTAATTATTTCTGATTTAAACTGTTATCATAGTCTCCCACCTAACTAATGCCTCTAATTCCCTTCTACACTTAATTCCTCACTCAGCTACCATAAGGATCTTATAATTCTAATGTGCCAAGCTTCCTTCCTCTGGGTCTCCCCTCCCTTTGTAATGCTTTCCACAAAAATCAATATTTCTGATTCCCTAAGTGCATCACTTAAATATCCACTAAAATATCACATCCTTAGAGGTCCTTCTCTAATCACCATCATCTCAATCAATTCTTCCTCACCATCCCACCCTCTGTCACTTTTGTCTTGATGTATAATGTATATCATATTTCTCTCTGGCATTGCATCATATATTCATTTATCATTTATTATTATTGTTTAACATATTTTTATTGATTTTCAGAGAGGAAGGGAGAGTGAGAGAGAGATAGAAACATCAATGATTTTCAGAGAGGAAGGGAGATGAGAGAGAATCATTGATCAGCTGCCTCACTGCATGTCCCCTACTGGGGATCGAGCCCGCAACCCGGGTATGTGCCCCCAACCGGAACCGAACTCGGGACCCTTCAGTCCACAGGCCAACACTCTATCCACTGAGCCAAACCAGCTAGGGCCATCATATATTCATTTTAATTGTTTATTGTCTGTCACCCAGGGAATGTAAACTTTATGAGGAGAGATACTTGGTTGCTTTTGTACATTGTCTCAACCAAGAGCCAGCCTAGAGCAGCGTTTGTGGAAAACTAGATGCTCAATAAACACTGCAGAATAAATGAATAAAAAGAAGACTGCTGAGTTGTGGTCAACACAAGAGCCAGAATTATATCATCCACTCAATTTCCTATAGTCAGGAAAAGACTTACAAATGAAGGAAGATTAGTCAGATTTCATTTGGCATGAGGAATTTAGAATGAAGAAGAGATGAAAACATTTTTATTGGTGTTATAATGTTGAATTCTCCCATACCTTAGAAGAAGGTTCAGGAAAGAATGAAGGTCCATCAGTAGAGGTGATTTTATAGGGTCATGAAGAAGATGCCACTGAGGATGAATTCCATGAGGCTGTTTGTTCATGTTCTCTCCTTGGTACTAGGTGGCAGTGAAAGCAGATGCCAGCAAGAAGTACTTACCAGACAAGCAGGATCACAAGGTCTCCCTGGACTCAATGCTGGGGGGATTGGAGCAGGAATTGCAGGACCTTGGGATTGCCACAGTGCCTAAGGGCCATTGTGCTTCCTGCCAGAAATTGATTGCTGGAAAGGTGGGATGGGCCACGATGTTGGTCCTACAGCCATCTATGTCTCTCTGTGTGTCTCTCTCTCTGTCCCACCAAAGATTGTTATTTCTCCTTATATTCTAAGAAGTTTTAATAACCTATATATATAAAAGCCTAAGCAACTGTTTGACCATTCAACTGGTAGCTATGACGTGCACTGACCACCAGGGGGCAAATGCTCAATGCACAGGCATGGAAACATGGTACAGACTGATGAATCTCAGAAGGAAAGGGGCAGGGGGGAGGGCAGGAAGAGATTAACCAAAAATCTTATATGCATAAGAGAGGCCTGGTGCATGGATTCATACACCAGTGGGATCCCTCAGCCTGGTCTGTGGGGATCGGGTTGAAACTGGCAGTCCGACATCCCCCAAGGGGTTCCGGATTGCGAGAGTGCGCAGGCCAGGTTGAGGGACCCCATCAGCGCATGAATCCGTCCACCAGGCCTCTAGTAGTTAATAATTACTGATTACTTATAGTGTTCTGGGCTAAGTGCTTTATAAGTATTTCTTCATTTAATGGTCACATTGGTCCTTAAAGAAGACTCTAGTATTATTCCCTTTGTAAAGATGAGGAAACTTTCCGGAAACCAATTCCAGCATGTTCAGCATGTTCAAGGGTCAACTCTGCGGTTGGGAATTGGCACATGTGGAGGGACTGACTGTGGTTATAAGAGAAGGTCAGTGCCCCCAACCACCTGCTTGTTCAAGGGTCGACTGTCTATAAAAGGGCATCTTAATCTACATGTTATTGCCTCCTACTGGCCAAACACCTGAACAGCCGTAGGCTAATTCCTCCATTCTGACAATGCTCGTGTATACCCTTTGAAGTATATATCTCTGCCTCGCCTCAGAACAAATTGTGTTAATAAAAAGCATGGGGTCCTGGGACGAGGAGACCTTAGACCTTAGACCTTACCTTAGAACTTAGATCTTAGTTTCCTTTAAACTAGGCTCCTCTGACCCCCAAATGCCTTTCAAAATTATATTTCATCTCTGGACTCCTATTTAATCTACACACAGCCTTCTCCAGATTGCTGAACCCTTCTTAATGCTGGAACAAGAACCCCAGCAGAAACTGAGGGCTCAGGTCCAAGGTCTAGTAAGAGGTAAAGCTAGGATTTGAACCCAGGAAAGTCAAAGCTTTTAATTTGAGTTTAAGCTCTTAACCTTTCTGTACTGCCTGTACTGAAATGAACTTTCTCACTGTTCTCTCTGTGCAAACATTCCTAGTTTAAATTTATTGCATACAATTTTCAGCTGCATTCAGCTCCAAATCATGGCCACTAACTCCTGCTCTGCATCATACTCCACCAAAACTGTAACAGGGTTTTGAGACCCAACTCTGCATGGGGTGTGAGATGAGATGTTCAAACGAGAGGAATAAAAACTGTCTTTTGACCTTTTACTCTTCTAGGGATCCCTGCCACACCAAGGCTGTAGTTATCTGCTGTGCTCTATTTTGTTTCTTATACCATCTGGGGCAGTATAGTGGTAAAAAACATTTACAGGCTTTTATCAGGGTGAGCAGTCAAGAAAGTGGGCACTTTTTTTCTCTCCATAAAGCATGGGCAACAGACCACATAGGTCTAGGCCAGTGATGGCGAACCTCTGACACGTGTGACACGCGAACTCATCTTTTTGGTTGATTTTTCTTGGTTAAATGGCATTTAAATATATAAAATAAATATAAAAAATATGTCTTTATTTTACTATGGTTGCAAATATCAAAAAATTTCTATATGTGACACAGCACCAGAGTTCAGTTAGGGTTTTTCAAAATGCTGACACGCCGAGCTCAAAAGGTTCGCCATCACTGGTCTAGGCCTTAGTGTTGTGTAACTCCAGAGGGTGTCATTTACTCAGAAAACTGTGTGAAGAGTGCCCACCATGACATGCAACCTGCAGGCCCTAGAGCACCCTACTGGGCTCTCACACCAGGCTTTATTTCCTCCTCCAGGTGATCCATGCTCTAGGGCAAGCATGGCATCCAGAGCACTTCATCTGCAGTCACTGCAAGGAAGAGATTGGCTCCAGTCCCTTCTTTGAGCGCAGTGGTTTGGCCTACTGCCCCAAGGACTACCACCATCTGTTTTCGCCACGCTGTGCTTACTGTGCTGCTCCCATCCTGGATGTAAGTAAACCCCTCTCCCCCTGCTTTCCTGTGGCGTTTCCTCACTCCTTTGGAACCAGGGTCATGTTTTACAGTTCTGAGGCATCCTGATATCTCTCTCTGTGTTCCTTTTCCAGAGAGTGCTGACGGCAATGAACCAAACCTGGCACCCAGAGCACTTCTTCTGCTCTCACTGTGGAGAGGTGTTTGGTGCAGAAGGTATGGCCTGGGGTACCTTGATCTGTCCTGGTTGTCCGGGATTCTGCCTCTACCACCCAAGCGCCCATTTCAGTACCACATGCCATCCTTCCCTACCTTTTCCCAACATTTATAGATTTTGTTAAAATTGAATTATTTTAATCAAGGAAATATGATTGCATAGTTTAAAAACTCAAACATTACTTCAAGGGTGATATTGAAAATGAATAGTCCCTTGCTCCTCCTTTCTCCACCCCCAATCCTACTTCTCTCTTGATTTTTTTAGCTTTTATTTTGTTATTTACTTTTTTTTTTTACGTGAGACATTATTATAAATTTAGTTTCCCCCAAATTTTAATGATTATGTATTCACTTTCTATCAGAGAAGATGAAGATATAGAAATGTTATTATTATTCCACCATATTTAGGGATGCCATATTTTCACCCCCAACATATTTCCCCTTCCACATTTTTCTCAGTTTATAATTAGGTCATAATTACAGGTCAGATCGATATTCAGTGTGTACTGGTAGATAATCATGTAAATATTGCTCACAGTTGAGCCTGGGTAGCAAACTTTGATTACAGTAGAGCCCGGCTTTTGGAGTCAGACTACCTGGTTTAAATCTGGGCTGTGACATTTATTTACTAGGTGATGTTGTTCCAGTCATTTAACCTCTCTGTATCTCACTTCCAGTAAAATGGGCCTAATAGGATCATCATGAGGATTTTAAGAGTCATGATTAGTGTTTAAAACAGTGTCTGGCACATGGAGTCCTTTTGTATATTTTTTCCCCAGAAGTTTGTATCCTTTTTTCATTAGCTTAATTTTCATTATACTTACCACTAATTTATCTGACAAAACTGTGAAATCCTTCTCAAAGTGGTCAACCACATGTGGTGATAGGTCAGTTCCATTTGTTCTTTCTCATAGACATCTGTCCCAAAGACGCCCATATTCCTGCTCCAACCTGAGGCCTGTTGAGAAGCAGTTATTCTGGATCATTATCTTGGGAATTCCTTTTACTATTTTTCTCTTTGGATCCTCTGTTTCTTGGATCTCAAGTCTTTTAATACATGTTACTGTCTTTATTTTGATAGAGCACATCCTGTGGTAGCTCTTGAGAACAGGTAAAACTTTCGAGACCTTGAATATCTGAAAATATTTTTGTTCTGTTGTCTACCTTCAGCTGCCTGGGCAGACAATTCTAGGTGGAAACTATTTTCCCTCATACTTCTGAAGACTCTGTTTGCTTCACTGTCTTCCAGTTTCCATAGTTGGGAAGTTTTTTTTGTTCTGTTTTCTTATTTTTTTAAAATCTTTATTGTTGAAAGTATTACATATATCTCCTTTTCCCCCTATTGACCTCTTCTAGCCCACACCCCCACCCCAGTTTATTTTGTTCATTAGATTCCATATCCATGAGATCATGTGATACATGTCTTTCTCTGACTGGCTCACTTAGCATAATACTCTCCAGGTACCTCCATTCTGTCTCAAAGGGTAAAAGATCCCTCTTCTGCCCTGGCCAGTTTGACTCAGTGGATAGAGCGTTGGCCTGCAGACTGAAGAATCCCGGGTTCGATTCCGGTTGGGAGCACATGCCTGGGATGTAGCCTTGATCCCCAGTGGGGGGCGTGCAGAGGGTGGCTGATTGGTGATTCTCTCTCATCATTGATATTTCTCCCTCTCCCGTCCTCTCTTCCTGGAAAAAAAAAAAAAGGTCTCTCTTCTTTACTGCTGCATAGTATTCCATGTTGCAAATGTACCACGGCTTTTTTATCCACTTATCTATTTATGGGCACTTGGGCTGTTTCCAGATCTCAGATATGGACATAGGGGTGTGCATCATTCTTTCTGACTGGTGTTTCAGGTTTCTTAGGATATATTCCTAGAAATGGGATCACTGGGTCAAATGGCAGTTCCATATTTAATTTTTTGAGGAAACTCCGTACTGTTCTCCATAATAGCTGCACCATTCTGCATTCCTGTCAGCAGTGTGCTAGGATTCCCTTCTCTCCACATCCTCGCCAGCACTTGTCATTTGTTGATTTGTTGATGGTAGCCATTCTGACAGGTGTGAGGTGATACCTTATTGTCATTTTAATTTGCATCTCTCTGATGATCAGTGACTGAGCATTTTTTCATATGTCTCTTGGCCATCTGTATGTCCACTTTGGAAAAGTGTTTATTTAGGTCCTTTGTCAATTTTTAAATTGCATTGTTTATCTTCCTTTTGTTAAGTTGTATAAGTTTCTTATATATTTTGCATATTAACCCTTTGTCAGATGTATCATTGCTGAGTATGTTCTCCCATACAGTGGGCTCCCTTTTCATTTTGTTGATGGTTTCTTTTGCTCTACAGAAGCTTTATATTTTGATGTAGTCCCATTTATTTTATCCTTAGTTTCCTTTGCCCTAGGAGATGTATCTGTAAACATTGCTTTGGGAGATGTCTGAGATTTTGCTGCCTAAGATTTTGTTCTTATTCCTGACCCTTTCTATATTACCTAGAATATAGGTATTGTGTGTTTCTTTTTCCTTCTGTTTTCTGAATTGTCTTGATTTTTTTCCTGACTTCTTTTTATGTTTGTTTTGAACAAATATAACTCATGCATGGATTCAGAAAGCTTCTTTATTTGTCTTTTCCTGTCTTTTTGGAATTAATTCCATGGGGAATGTTTTGTCCTCTCTCCAAAATAAAAACTTGGGCAGTCCCATGTCGTTTCTAATTCCTCTTTTCTTTAAAAAGTTTGTAATAAATTTATTGAGGTGACATTTGCTAATAAAATTATATATTTCAAGTCTACAATTCTACAACACATCATCTGTATATTGCATTGTGTACTCACCACCCAAAGTCTAGTCTCCTATCACCATATATTTGACTCCCTTTACCCTCTTCATCCTCCCCCCAAACCCCTACCATCTGATAACCACCATCCTGTTTTCTATGAAGATTTTTTTTATTTGCTTGTTGCTTTCTGTTTTATATCCCACATATAAGTAAAATCATATCGTTCTTATTTTTCCATTCGATTTATTTGGCTTCACATAATGCTCTTGATATCTGATCCCTCCAGAGTTGAAACAGAGATGGAAGGAGTTGAGACTGGAGGGCAGAAAAATTTAATTTGTCTAGTATTGTTATAAATCTTCTTTATGCTGTCTGGGCCTGGCAGATGTTTAACGCTGGCTTTTTTTTCTTGGATCTTTTTGTGGACCAATTGTAAACTCAGGAGGACTTGGGCCCCCCAATTGTAAACTCTTAATTGCCCTTCACTTATCTTGGTTCTCCCTTGGCACATTTCTTTGAGGATCTATTCCACACAGATTCATTTTTGCAGGGTTTACCTTATTTCCTCCTACCGATCTCTTAGAAATTATTATAATGGTTCTGGATCATCTCTTTCACTACATTTGCATATATGGATCACAGGAAGCTTGTACCATTCTCTTACAGTCAATGGGATTGAAATTAATTTCCATGTGCATCTCTCTTTTCAACTGCTGTACTTTCAGCCAGACTTTCACCTATGGACTTTTTCCAGAGATAAGTCAAATACCCCACTAATGGCAGGACACAAATACCCAGCTCTCTGAATGGTCCTATTAAAGTCCCTCTCTTGACTTGAATTAGCAAGAGCCATGCCTCATCTCTCTTGACAGGGATGGAGTACCCATAGCACAATTTTCCCCAAAGAATTTCCCTTCTCTGAATTCCCTCTCTGAATTTCCCTTCCTCTTTACCTGTTTTGTATCCTCAGTGTGAGTGAAGAGTTCCAGAATCATGAGAATAGACCATGGCTATCTTCTTTGAGGAATGTCTTGTAGCTCAATTTGGAATTGGTATCTATGACATCTCAGTGCCTTCCATCTTGTATATTGGTCTTGGACAAATCCTGCTGATCTTTGGTTGCCCATTTCCTACTTAAGAATGAGACATTAAAATGCTAATTGGGATATAGGCAGAATGTGCAGACTGTTAGACTCAACTGTGTGGTACTTAGGTAGGATGCTCTGGCCATTTTGCTGGGAGACTCCTGAATATTAATATTTTAGGCCTTTAATCTTTTTGCTGTTGTTGTTAATCCTCACCTGAGGATACTTTTAGAGGGAGTAGAAGGGAGAGACATCGATGTGAAAGAGATACATCCATTGGTTGCCTCCTGCACGCACCCTGAACAGGACTGGGGAACCTGCAACCAAGGTACATGCCCTTGACTTGAATCGAACCTGGAACCCTTCAGTCTGAGGGTTGACACTCTATCCACTCAGCCAAACTGGTTAGGGCTAGGCCTTTAATCTTGAATCAATTCAAGAGATGCTTTCTCTCCCAGCCTTATGAAAATTTTTTTAAAGGATTAGAAAATGAGGTTTCACCATTCAGAATGTCAACTTGTATGTAATTCCTTTTTTTTTTTTCAGTAGAAAGCTTTACTTCTTTCCTCATGGTTCCCAGTAGCTCTGGTTTGATATCTCCAGAATTAATTACTTTATCTATGGTAGGGTGGGGAATCTGATCTTCTAACAGCTCCTCAGAATTGCAACCAATCCTGTTCTCAGTCTTGAGACTATTTTATGCATTCAGTTCCTGAGCCCCTCTGATGTTATGGAGCTCCAGATGGCTTAAGTTTTATTGGCACCTCCTGTCTCTGGAGATGTAGGTTTCAGTGTTCTTGTTTTTGCCAAACTGGTTGTCACACTTATGCCTACTTTAAATTTTTGAAAATTTTATTGATATCTCATCTGTGGCATCTCTTTTTCTTTTCTCCTTTTCCCACGGGTCTTTCTATTTTAGATTATTCTTTAACTATCATGTCAGTGATGTTTCAAGCGGAAGTGAAGATAACCCTGTGTGTCTTGCCCTCACCAATGTGGACTCTACTAATGTCAGGCCTGTTATTATGTATATTTCTAATTACCATTCATTTAATCCCATCCACAACTGTGTAAGACTAATTTTATTTCACATTTTATCTAGTTATAGATGAAAACACTGAACCTCAGAAAGGAAAAGTGATTTTCTTAAAGTCATAAAATTGGGAAGTCAAAGAGTTGGAATTTAAATTAAGGTCTTATTTTAGCAAGTTTCATATTTGTTTGTTTTTCTACAACATCCTAAGTGCCCTTTGACAGAGTCTCAATTCCTCTTCTTCTGTTGGAACTTTGTACTTTCTTGGCACCGACATGATGCACTTTATTTGAAAGTAGACCTGGATTGAGTAGCACTGATATAATCAACTAGCTAAGTGCTTTGTAGTAATTTGCGTTTCACTGAAGCTTGTTCAATGCTTTTCACAAATCATTAGGCCTTTCATTTCTAAATTGCACTTTAGGTAAGCATATTTTTCATTGGGATTTAAAATCTAAAGCATATTGAAATGTGTCATGGTAAATTTATATTGCACCAGTAGCCATAGAAGTCTAAGGGTTAAGTAAATAGTAAATAAGAATATAACCCAGAGATAATGATGTGGAAGTTGCCTGAGAACAGAACAAGAGGGTAAAGATGTATTTCAAGAAGAAATGTAAGTTAGACACAAAAGGAAAATATCCTATTCATAGGCTGACCAGGAAGCATCATTGCTTTTGATTTGGGCCCCTTCTAAACTGACAGGCAGGTTAGGTTATTTATAATTTCACATAAATATGAAGCCACACATAAGCTATATTTATTTAGACAACTGATTAAAAAGGCCATTTACTAATCAGAAGCTCCTCTTGAGTAGCATTTTTGTTTTTATTCTTTGCTTTCTGTAAATGGGTCTCCCACTATAGGGTTAGTCTATTAATTAGGTAGCATCCTGCCTTACCCAAGTCACACACAGAGTTTTTATAATGACAGCTAAACCCTTGAGCCTCCTGGGAAATTAAATTCATCTGCATTTTTTTGTTTCAGTTCAGGGAATTCCTCTTTAAGCCTCAAGTTTCTAAGCACATCAGGCTTTAACACCCTCCCATAGGGACCAGGTCCTCATTGCCTACCTTCTTTTTAATTGTTCATTATCCAGGCCATGCAGGTGCTCCGTAATTTCCCTGGTGGATAAGAGCTGCACCAGAGTGTGCACTTTTAATTGTTAGAGTTTCTCATCCATTCTCCAGAGGTAATTGGCCCCAGAGAGAGCCTCCAGGCAGTAGGTGCTGAAACTTTCTCAATTTATTGCATAACATATGCAAGGGGTATCACAGCAAGTTTGGCTTATTGCTTTTGATTCCTCTCCTGAGACTCACCTGAGTTCACACAGAGGCTGTTACTTCCCTGCTATCTCATTCTTATGACCAGCTACCCTACAAATGCCTAGATGAGGGTCATTCCTACAGAGGCAAGCTCAGTTTTAGGTCATTTGCATCGCCTGAGAACTTGTCTGAAATAAAAATTCTCAGGCCCCATCCCAGACCTACTGAATCAGAAACTCTGGGGTGGGGCCCAGCCAGTAATCTCACCATGTGATGGATGCACAAGAATGTATAAGAAATATTGGGGCACAAAAAGCAAGGAAGGGGTTGTACATGTTGATTTGTTTTTCTTAAATACTAGGCTTGCCCACAGTCAGTTGCACTTGATCAGTCTCTAGAAATTCTTTGATAAAGTGAATAAAAGTAAGCGAGCTCATCTCTGTCTCAGAGAAAAGAACACAATTATTAGTTTAGAATGTTAGATCTATAGGCCTCAGAAGTTTGTTAAACTATTTTCTTTTCCACGACAGCATCATTGAACAAGGCAAGACATATCAAACAGTGACTGGAGATCGTGGGAAGATTACAGCCACCTGATTTGGGTCCCATTGCCTTTTTTCTTTTTTCATTTGGCTGCTACCATCAAAATAGATTTCTAGAAATAGTGCTCTTTGTGGGCTACTTTCCAATCCACTGAGTATGCTTTACTTTCACACTCTTGTAGTAGGTACAAGTGGAGCTTTCATATTTGCAGAGATATTGGCTTATGATAGTTGGGTTCAGCCAACACTATCAGGTCCCACAGAGAGGTCAAGGTCAGGATGTATTGAGATTTCTTTGTAGTTCTTTTTGTCTTTAGAATTCATCCAGTAGGACTGTACAGTCAAAATACTGTTTTAAGGACACTAGAATGAATTATTGCCTTTCCTTGGTCATATCACCAATTTGTTATGTAGTTTAATTTGTTTCCACTTGGTTCAATTTTTAGGGATAAATTTTATAAAACAATAATTGAAACCATATAATAATTATTTTTAAACATATATTTGAGAGAGGAAGGGAGAAGGACAGAGAGATAGAAATATCAATAAGAGAAATATCACCAATCAGTTGCCTCCTACATGTCCCCCCAGAGGGGATTGAGCCTGCAACCTGGGAATGTGCCCTGACCCAGAATGGAACCGGTGGCCTCTTAATTCCTGGCTCAATGCTCAACTGCTGAGCCACACCAGCTGGCCTAAACCATATAATTATTTAGGGACCTTTGTATTCATTATATTTCTCTGAGATATAATTAACAAATCTTTTCTTTTGTCCTTTCTCTTAGCTTTGCCTACAGTGTTTTTTGGTCATGCTTAAGTCATTAATATATGTTTTTAATGTAGCTAAATTTATTATTTAACTTCCTTTTGAAATTTGAGACATTTTATGACAGTTCTTATTTAATCCCCAGATTAAAGAAGAATACATCCATTTTTAATTCAAATATTTGTATGGTTTGAGTTATTACATTTAGATCTTACATCCATTTGGAAATTATTATTTCATATTTCTTTATTTTTAAATATGAGGCAGGTTTTTTCCAAGTGCCATTTTAGATTCTGGAGATTCAGTGTGACAAGACCAACAAAATCTAGTTTCTCTCAGAACTAATGTTCCACTAGGAAAGACAGACCACAAAGATGATTTTAGATAATGGTAAATAAAGGCAATGAATAAGACCAAATGATAGACATGGACTGGAGAAATGCCTCTTCGATAAGATGATATTTTAGCTGATTTATGAATGACAAGGTGAGGCTAGCCATATTGAGGCCTGGGGCAGAACTGTCAAGGCTGTCGGAATAGTTAACACTAAGGCATCAAGAAGCAATAGCCCTTAACATTGTTAAGTGTTCACTCTGACTCAGGAACAATACTGAAACACTTTACCTGCATTGTCACTGAATTTTTCAGAATGGCCCTTTGAGGTAGGTATTTGTTATTGGCTCCATTCTGAATACAAAAGCACCAAGTTTGGGGGAGTTTAAAATCATTGGCCTCTTTTCAACCTCCAGCTTGGCTTCCAGTCTCAAACTGCAACAATGAACCCTTGATTTTTCTCCCTCTAGGTTTTCACGAGAAGGACAAGAAGCCATATTGCCGAAAGGATTTCTTAGCCATGTTCTCACCCAAGTGTGGGGGCTGCAACCGCCCCGTGTTGGAAAACTACCTTTCAGCCATGGACACTGTCTGGCACCCCGAGTGCTTTGTTTGTGGGGTTTGTACACTCAGTTATTTTTTGGATTTAAGGAACATCAGGGGTTCTCCTCTCTGAGAGGCAGAGCTGCTAAGAGGGTGCAGAGCTTGGGATGAGGGCTTGATGTGGGCTTCCTAAAGGAGACACGAAACACAGCATTTGTTGTGGCATTTGCTTTCTGTTTTGCAAGGGGGCCATATTCTAGCCTTCATTTGTCAAGGACCCAAATGAATTCCTGCTACTTACTGGCAGGTAACTGGCAGGAATTTCTAGGCTGAAAGTTTTACTTTGCTGATGTTTTATTCCTGACATCTGCCTTCCTTTCATTTCTCTTCTCTCCACCCCCAGGACTGCTTCAGCAGTTTCTCCACTGGCTCCTTCTTTGAACTAGATGGACGTCCATTCTGCGAGCTCCATTACCATCATCGGCGAGGAACACTCTGCTATGGGTGTGAGCAGCCCATCACCGGCCGCTGCATCAGTGCCATGGGCCACAAGTTCCATCCTGAGCACTTCGTCTGTGCGTTCTGCCTGACGCAGTTGTCGAAGGGAATCTTTAAGGAACAGAATGGCAAGACCTATTGTCCACCCTGCTTCAATAAGCTCTTCCAAATATAATCTCAGCTGAACCCACAGCCCCATCCAAATCCCCTTTAACATTTAAACTGAGAGAGGAAAGAGTACATTTGCTGTTACTGGCCTTCTGCTCAGTAGGCTTACAGAGAAAGTAAAGGTGATGAACAAAGAAGGGAATGTCTAGATGTTAGGCTTGTAGCCTTAAGTTTCAGATTTCTAGTCTTATTTTTTTAATTGAGTACTTGGATTTAGATCTGGAGCCTGCTAGCTAGTGCCTCTGAAAATATATTTTTCACATGCACACATTCATTTCATAATTGGTTTTCTCAGATTTCTCCATTTTCACCCCTATGATGGCCCTGCTCACATCTAATCTCCTTTTCAGGTTTCCATATTTCCATGTGACTCAGTTCCCCACAATCATGGCTGTGGACTTTATCCTTGCTGTCAGGAATCATGATAGCACTCTTAAGCTCCTTGCATCTCCTTTCAGTATATTTCTCTTTTTCAAGAGGTATTAGATTTTAACTGGACAAATTTGAGTGCTGACATAATTGACAAATAAAGTGGCTTGTGTGTGTGTTTTAAATATGTTTTCATTGATTTTAGAGAGAGAGGAAGGGAGAGAGAGAGATACATTGAGGTGAGAGAGAAACATCAATCAATTGCCTCCCATATGCACCCTGGCCAGGGATGGATCTTGCAACCTGGGTATGTGCCCTGACCAGGAATTGAACCTTCGATCTTTCTGATGTATGGGACAACACTCCAACCAACCAAGACACACAGGCCAGGGCAAGTGGCTTGTGTTTAATGACTCAATATCATGTAGTTTGGTAGATGATCCTTCTGCTTCTCATATTAATAAACTAAGCACTTTGTGCAACTAATTACATTTGTATCGTGCCTCTTGTTTACATCCATACAATAAGCATTTTTTTAATTAAAAGGAGGGACTCCTATTCAATAACATTTTTTATTAATTTGGACCTATAACATTTTATTTGCACTTAGATAATTAAATCATCTTAAAAGATGGCAAAGCCTCTTAAAATTGTTCTCATCACTTTGTTTACTGAAGGAGAAAACCTGTATCTGCACTGGGCACTAGCAAATCTTTATTTGCATATAAACGCATGTCTCCAAATTAAAAAAATTTTTATAATATTTAATATTATAAAAAATTTTAAATATTTAATATATGTCCAGATTTCTTGTATATCAATTATATCTCAATAAAGCTGTTCTTTAAAAAATAAAAATACATCTTCCTCAACATCACAATTGTCTCATGAAAACAAACAGGGTGGCTGTTCTTAGAACATCTCTGAAGACAGATGTTATAAAAGATCATTTACTATTTTCTACTTTGGATTAGGAAATTCAAGCCCCCAATGAAAGTCTCCACTTAATTATTTCCTTCTCTGCAAAATATTATAAGTAAAGTTGTAGAAAAGCTAGTCAGGTTATTAAAGAAATCTTACCTTCTCATGTCCTACCTCAAGTAAGCCTCAAAGGAGTCATTCTTACTCAAAAGAGATAGTGATGAGATCTGCACTATATAATTTGTATCACGGTCTTAAAGATATCATAGGGTTATTTGTTAAAAAGTAGATTAAGGGACTGTGGAAAACTCCTTAACTAAAGGTATTTCTTGAAAATAGAACTGATTTGGTGTCTAGATTGGTAGGGGCACAGAACTTCTTGGAGAACTGATAGGTTAAATGATTCTTGCCAAGCTTTATTATATCTATCCGGGTCCTGCTATCTAGTGCCTTTGCAGATACATTTTTCACATGCACCCATTTGTTAGAATGAATGATAAGGGGTTTTGAGAGTTAAGAGGAAGTGGTAACAGTTATAGGAACTTCAAATGCATCCTAGCTATGTAGGAGGCCACACAGATAGGGAGCCGTCTGGCCTCATGTCCTATTTGGTTGGCTGAGAGTACCAGACTAAGCAAAATTTACGTTCAACTTCTTACCAGACTAAGCAAAATTTACGTTCAACTTCTAAACATCCCCTTTACTGTATCTGACTCTATGATGTCATATGCAGGTGTTAATAGGGCAGTGTTCATGGTTGCCTGGGCGATTTGACAAAGTAAACTTGGGGTTTTAGCCTTTAAGAAAGAATGTTCAGGTGCTAAAACTTTTTGTTAAGGATGAGCTATTTTGAAATCTCAGTAGGTCTAAATATTTTAAAATGTCAGAGAAAAGCAAGAGTCCAATAAGGTGCCACTAAGAAGTGAAGATGTTTTCTTCTCACAATAAATATAAGTGGTTATACTTGTTCAAAAAGATATGATGCCTTTGGGACTAATGTTTTAGCCACAAGGAAGCCACTTGCAAGTGAAATATTTTCCCTTTTAAAAAAGCCATAAATAGGATTACTCAAACTGATCAACTATTTACTCTTGATTCTGAGTAACTCATAGTTTTTTTAAATAAAAATAAAAGCTACCCTCAAAGAGCAGTGCTTTTTCTACCAGTGAGGTATATATACCTAAAAGAATGTGCTATACACTGGAAACTCTATTTTCAAATAGGAATTTCTCAATTTGTTGGCCAATTATTCTTTAGAATAAGTATATAATCCTCCAAGGTGATTCTTTGGTAAAGACAATTATTTGCCGTAAACATTCTGACAGGTACTTCTCTTACCGTTGGTTGTAGGAAGGCTGCCAGCCACATAAACTTCTTTTTCATGACCAGTAGAGGGAGAAAGAGTGCTTTCGTCTAGTTTAGCAAGAAAAGCCCAGTGCGGGAATGGACTATACAGCTTGGCTTAAACCAACCTGGACCATTCCCAGAGTTAGGAGCAGGACTAAATTCCTGAAAACACAAGGACTTTGTGGAGGGGATGTGAATACTTAAAGAAAATCTGGGTTTTACTGGAAAGGAGACAAAAAATCTTCAATTTACATGACTACATATTCCAATATCACAGTAACTTTGTACGGTGACAAATGGATAGTAGACTTTTTGTGGTGATCACTTTGTAATAAATGTCACTATGTTGTACACATGAAACTAATATAATATTGTGTGTCAACTATAATTTAAAAAAGCTTTACATTTCAGATTTTTTTAAAGCAAAAATATTAAAGTGTTTTCTGAATTTCAAGGTAATACAGAAAGTAAGCAAATAGATATTCCCAGTGCCCTGAGGGAACATGTCTGAGAACTCTGCAGAGTTTAAAAATAGAAGAGAGCCAGGAATAATGGTTTATAAATAACGCCAGGCAGAGGTACTGGTCTTCCCTAGGCCTGTAGGGCACAGCAATAAGAAGCATCTGCAACAGCGTCAGTCTGGGAATCTGAAAAGGGAGCTCTTCTAGCTGAAATAACGGTGAGAAAATGCAACAACTTTCTTTAGGAGCAAGTGTCTTAGGCATGGACAAGTCCTCAATAAGGGTAGTGGTGGCAGCCACTAAAATATGGGACTAAAGAAGCAACAGTCTGTCCCCACAACACTATGGAGGCTCTTTCACTAGATAAAACTCACCATCAGGGCAGCAAGTAAGTGCTGAGAACACACTCTAAGGAGAACTTGGAATCTACTGGGATTTGCAGGATGAGAAAGAAAGAAATGTCAGATAAGAGCTGGTGATTGAGGTGTGCTCGTTGCAAATGTATAACTTTGCCAGGAAGCAGCAATGTCTCAAATTGATTCTGTAAGAAAGGAGACAGTTTATGTAGGAGGCTCCACCTTCTGATTGTGTCTAAATTAATCAAATGCACTGTGTCCAAATTAATTTCCTGTGCAAAGAAAGCTCCTAATTGTGTTTAGGTTCATAGTCTGGACAATCACATAGACTTCCTGGCATCTTGGTGAGAATGATCCAGCTCCCCTTTGTATTTTGGATATCACCAAATCTCAACAAAAATTACTCTAGGGCCCTAGCTGGTTTGGCTCAGTGGATAGAATGTTGGCCTGTGGACTGAAGGATCCAGGGTTTGATTCTGGTCAAGGGCACATGCCCAGGTTGTGGGCTCGATCCCCAGTAGGGGGCGTGCAGGAGGCAGCCGATCAATGATTCTCATCATTAATGTTTCTATCTCTCCCTCTTTCTCTCTGAAATCAATAAAAATGTATTTTTTAAAAAACAAAACAATAAAACAAAACAAAAAATAAAACTACTCTAGGAATAAGGTTTTGCCTGGGATAACTACCCCAATTCCTATGAGAGATACCTCAGATCATAGGTGCTTTTGGAACAATTTGTACAGCTGAGAATGAGCACACCAATAAGTCAAAGGATTTTACTTCCTTTAAACTTGAACCTGAAGGAGGTGAGACAATTTGATTTTGGATTTAACTGCTGTTAGACTATGATAAACTATGATAACTAATATGACTGAACATAATCAAAGATGTGAAATAGAATGGGAGCACACTTCTCAGCATTATTTTTTTTCAGTCTAGTTTCTCCACAAGGAACCACATCTCTCTCCTGCTTGATCCATGTAGTTATTTATGATGGCTGACTTTATCATCAGCTCCTGGAATATATACAAGTGTCAGGCCTGACCAGTAAGCTATTTTGTTCTTCTGGACCAAGGTGATTGGATCAGGAGTAGACATGTGACCCTAGCAAAGCAAATCAGATTGCTCCCCAGGACCTTTGTGAATTACTGGGAAAAGGGTATTCTCATTCTGTTGGGATTCTATCTATAGAATAATAAAACACTCATTGCTGCTGAGAAATATCTTCATGATCACTTAGAGGGGAGCCTGCTTGAGAAAGAAACCAATACAGAGGAAAGTAGAGTTGAGTACTGATGAGACTTTATTTTCTTTTGAGCACTCAATCCTACCACATCAATGTCTTAATCCCAGACTGGAAATTATGTGAATAAATAAATTCCCCTTTGTAGAGCGCAGCTATAGGGTTAAGCCTCAGAGTGACCTGTTGGCAAAGCCACAAACAAGTCCCAGCTTAGAGGGCACAGTCCTCTTAGCATAATTAGGCTTGACCTTATGATGTTCCCTAGATCTTATCTGGGTAGCTAATGGGCTGAGGGAGATTTAGCAAGTGCTGCCAAAACAAGTGAAACTTACAAGAACATTGTAACTATGGTGACCACTACCTTGTTTACCTCTGGCTATAAAATAAAGGCTCAGCTTGCTGTCTGGATCTCTCTCTGTGGCCTCAGCCAGGCACAGGAAGATCCACCTAGACCCAGCTTATTCTCTTCGTCTGTCATTTCTTCATCCATTTGCCACCCTCACTCAGGCTTTTGAATCCTTGGCTGAGCTGGCTCGGCACACCCCTTTTTATTTAAACTGATTTGAGGTGGGTATCTTTGACCAGTTAACTGAATAAGCATAATAGATATGTTCTCTCTCTTACAAGCTTAACATGTTGCAGAAGAATGAATAAATAAATGAACAAATACACTCAACAGTGGCACAGCATGTGCATGTCACCATGAAAAAGGAACAGACAAAAATAGTATCTGATCACTTCCCAATGCTTTTAAATTGGAGTACAGTGAAACACTTCATATTTTAAGTCGGAGGCATCCTGTGGATAGCTGATATATTTAGAATAAAAACTTCTTTTTCCTGTCCAATTTGTTAGTAAAGTTGAATAATGTGTATCAATATCAGTAAGGACA